CCGGCTTCGCAGATCGACTTAGTCAACATCACGTCCCGTCGATCTCGCCTTCAGACAAGAACGCAGGCCAGCAACTGTCAGCGCCGCGATCGGAGGTGCATCAAGATCGCCATCTTCGCGTCGGCAGGCGGTAAGTGTTGGTCAGGAGGAGACGGTTTTCTGCGCAGGTTCTCATGAGAGAGAGACCGTTGTCGCTGCACCTGCCGATTATATAGGTACCCAGCACTGTTCCTTAGCGGACATTGAAGTCACCAAGGGGTTGTGAATTCTTACATCACCGAATACGGGGCAACTGCCGCAGGCGTCCTAAGTAACCCGGCGTTTATTTGGACATCACAACCACTGTCGCGCAGCAGTGTCTGCGCGAGACTGACAGCGTGACCCAAGTCAATATGAAGGCGGAAATGTGTGGGATGTATTTATTCTAGGACAGACCTGAGCAACGTGGATCATTAGGCGAATATTGGAGGCAAAACGCGTTGTCACACAGACGGAGGCCGGAGTCTTTCCTCTCGTCGTCTAAGAGTGTTAATATCCCTCCATGCAGACGATCGACAATTAGAGATATGAAAGTATCTATAGCTTCAGCCAATTCACAACGTAAATGGTCAGGCGTGCCGGTCGCAATGACAGTGGTCGAAGCATATGCATCAAGTGGCGGTGGCAACTTTGCCCGACAAGCCAAGGCGTCCGCGTCCTGGTGCTCTTCACTTGTTCGAACAAGCTGACTAGTCAGATAACTAAAGCATTCCAGCAAACGGAGCGCCTTTGATCTGCGAAACGTTTGCCGGCGAGATAGTACAGAAACTTCTTTACCAACGTCACAACGGCCAAAAGCTCATTGCGTGTGGTTGAACAGCTGCGCTCAGACTTAATTACCGTTTGTTTGGCAAAAGCGAACGGAGGCCCAAGTCCATAAGCTAGCTGCTGAGACAAGACTTCTTTGAATAACTTCATCTGAGGCGTCCGTGTCCGAAACGAATTGTTGGGGACCGTCAGCAAGGGATGGAGGTCAGACGTCGCTTCAGCTCCTCAAAATATTCGTTGCAATCATCGGACCGGTGAAAGCTGCCTGTTTGCTAGTGGAGTGATTCAGAGGGATAGCAATGTGGGCAAGATCTTCGATGAACGACTGCAATAGGAGGTCATACCCAGGACATTCCGGAGTCCATAAACGAGTACAAGTCTTGGTCAGTGTCAGATATGTGCAGTCTTCGCATAGTCTGTCCTAACCACATATGTAGAGACAATGTGATCCAAGAGAGGGGAAGATCGAAGGCCTACAAGCGGGTGACAGTGGCTTGGAAATTAACAAGGTGAGACTTGACTGTGGATCCGTGGATGATGAGGTCTCCAAGGCAAACCGCATACGCGGTGGGGCATATGTTTTGTAAAACCGAGGCCATCTAAGAGTCTAAAAGTCGCGGGCACGTTTGCCAGCCCTAAAGGCATAACTTCAAGACCCTATAACGCGAAAGGAGCGGAAAATTCTGCTTATGTCTATCCACCGGTGTCACTTTCACTTGCCAGCAGCCTGTATGTCATGCTAGAAATACCAGCATAACCTGTCAGACCATCTGGAGTGGAAACAAATCTTTGAAGGTTATCGAATGTGACTTTGGGCAGCCAACACACAAACACAGGGATCTATCTTTCCTCTTAATAAGAAAAATTGGGGAAGCGAAGGGCAAAGATGACGAATGACATGCCTGTCCAGCATGATGACCTGTTCAGAGAATGCACTGAACTCCAACAAACGGGTTGGTGCACCGGACGAGCCAGGCCCACCCAACGGCATGCTGTAATACATTCGTTCTTCCTAGCGGTTCATCATCTCATGTGAAAGTAGCTGACCTACGGCTGATGAGGTCGCGGACATCAGTCGCCTGCCCAGAGGAAAATTCGTGAGAGTCAGAAACTAGGCGAACCAGATCGGAAGGCCGGAACCAAGTAAGTCACAAACTAACTGCTGGTCAGGGCATAGGGGAAATAAGAGGGAACCTCAGTCGTCTTATACGTCAGATGGCACGTGGCAAGACCGACGCAGAATCAATGAGCATGAAGGAAATCGGCCCCCATAATACCTTGTTATTGACTATCAAGTCAAACCCAAAAGTAGCGACGAAGTGCGAATGAACCGAGGTGGAATGGTACGTCGATTCGGGGCGAAGGGGGCAGTATCGTCCCCTCTGTCGCAACAACGCGGAAATATCTGCGTGAAGTCTTGGCTTCTTATAGTCAGACACGAGCTAAACCGCTAGGGTCTAACAAAGACCATGTGGCTCTTGTCTCAACAAGAAATACTGCCCGCCTATTCGTAACCGTAAAGTCAAGAAGTGGAGCAGGAAATTCAGACTTTGACTAAATGGTAGAAACCGAATAGATCTCGCTTGAAATTTCAGCGATGCGCGTCTGACAGTCTCGGAGAGGACACGTGAAATTTTGGGACGCTTGTGTTGTAACAGACCGCATCTGCCGCCGTCAGAGGACAGATGCTAAGTAGCAGAGGGTGCAAGCGATGGCCTGTGCTAGCCTTTATACACCTGCACAAAGACCAGGAGGGCATCGAATAAAGGGAACGATTGCTTGAGTAATTTCCGGTATAAATGATCATCCTACAAACCGGCGCGGAAATGCAAGGAAAGATATGCGTCTGCAAAACTTGAAGGTCTGCCTGGGAATGCAGCGAGGCTTAAGGAATGACTGCAACCCAAATACTCCTCTTGCCCCCCAGGAGCTATCGATGAGACGGCAATTGACTTTAAGTGCCAACGGGTGTCTAGGAGGTCGAAAAAATGGGGCGGGGCAGGAATCATCAAGCAGACATTGGTGTCAAGTCGCACACCGAAAGCATTGGCTTCGGTCAGTAATTTCGCGGACGGATGATGACAGAGATATCGTGTGTGCTCCTAAGCGACTATTTAGATTAGATGGACACTGGCTTAAGAGGCCGAATGTGGAAATTGCCTCCAGATATCAACAGTGGGAGCGTGTCGGGTGATGATACCCTAATAGAAAGGTAGGGCAAGTGGAGCTCAAATTTTCGCTAATGAATTCGACCCCGTGATTTGACTAGTTGGCAGTTTCGTAACGATGACACTGCTAAGGGTACAAACGACTGCATGCATTTTCACAGGCTAATAAGTCGGACGTTGTGCAAGATTGAGCGAGAGTAGTCCGCGGCTTCACTTTCTGCTCCGACACGCTGTCATGCGCACGCTCTCCCTCTTTGACGTCTCTGTTGTTGTTCTGAACCCACTTTCTAACTGCCGTTTTTTCTATTATGCTTAATTGTGTAGGCCATCGGACCTACTGAGGTCGAGGCCAACTGAATGTTACGGAGAACTAGCGAAAACGTGTGGCAAAGATACCCGCTTGACACATCGCGGACGTCGTAGTCGGACAGATGGACTTCTGATACGGATTCGTTATCTTCCTGCGGTTATGAGATTTTTCGGCATTCATATTCCACGACGCTTTAACGGATGAAGTCAAGGTAATTGCCTTGTTTTCAGAAGGGATGTAGGGGTTTGAAAAGTTCCAAGATGCATGCGCTGGCGGGTAATCTGGCTGGATCCGGTGGTGTTTTTATTGGATGTGACGAATAAATGCTGCCACAGTCTTGTAGCGAGCGAGCGGACAACACAGTACAAGCAAAGAAGGTTTATTTCGGGCGGTGATAAGGAGAGTAGCTGGACCCAAGGGTGCGGGATACTGGGAACCAGACCACTCGCGCCACGAGAGAAATCGAAAGTGTCGGCCGTCAAACCAGGCGTCGTCTTCTGTGATGTTTTCCTGGATCAGTCCCTGAGTTTCTACAATGGGTTAAACCTGATCGAATCAGGAAAAACAAAATATAGTCGAGGAATGGTCCAAAGTGGATTTTTATTACACTCACCTTGACCACAAGTACATCTAGCTTTCGTCGATATTTGCTGCTCTGGGCCGGCAGACGTGTGATATGTATGTTTGCATCTCTCGCTCTGTACATAGTTTCCACGTAAGCAATGACAGTCCAACCGTCGTTACCAACGATGTCCGCGTGTGTTCCACAGCAGAGTGAAAGCAGACACGGTGACTTGGTGTAAATTAGTTTGTAGTGAGAATAGACTTGCGCAGAATTTGGCGCACTCTCTCCTCCCCACTTAGGCCCAGTGTCAAGACAGAATAAAAGACGCCGGAGGCGAGGGAGGGCGCAGGTGGATGGCACGGCCGGACCCACACTTAGACGTACCACTTACCCCCTGGTCCACAACAAACACTCAACCGGGGTCTTACTCAATAGCAGCACAGCAAGACGTCAGAAAGACAGGGATAACTGGGCAGCCATGCTCACTACCTGTACAGCTGGCCGGAGCGCAAGCACATCTGCCAGCGGGTAACCAGGTGCCAGAGAAATGCTGATGGACACGGTCTGCTGACGCGTACAGAGCAAAGGGTGACACGTAGCCCTGTACTGGGCCTGGGCCAACACCTCTCAAAGACGGGATGACCAGTCATCCTTTGAGTAAGAGACACTACCCACATGTACATACACTCCACACGCGCGTGAGTGTCAGAGGTTATGCTAAGAAGGAGTCGTGGTGGCGTATCTCTCAGCCCACCAGTCCGCCATTTCACTTAAACGCGCTCAACTGGGCAAATCGCGTGGACTAACTTTAAGCGTCATTTGTCAGCCTTCCAAGCCACGGTACTTGACGCACCGTGATAGTCTCGGACTCGGATCACACATGTGGCAGAAGAGCCGAGAAGCCCGCTTTACACTTGCGTGGGAGGTGCCAGTTTAGTCCTGACGTCGCATCGTGATGGGCGATGTTGTTTTTGGTTCATGTGCAGGTGGGGAATGTGTGATGGTGTGGTGCAGCCGGCGGTTGTCCACGCGGGTTTTGGCGAATACGCATGTGACCTAGTAAGCCCATGTGGCGAGTGAATATGCGGGGCAATGCGGATAGTGCAGTCGGATGAGGCAAGTGTAGGTTGGTGCTCCAGGCACTGTTTTGTCAGTCTCCGTGCGATGGATTCGCCAGTGACCGATCAGCCGGTGTGTGCGGTGAATTTTTGATCACAATGAGGACAGATATGAGCTGAGTCCACATCACCGGGGGCGGAGCAGTTGGTGGTTGGATCTGATGAGAGATCAGATGTAGTCTCTGCGGTGGGGGAGTGCGTGATATCGTGGTGGTGGTGGTGGTGGTGGTGGTGGTGGCGGCGGCGGCGGCGGCGGCGGCGGCGGCGACGGTGGCGGCGGCGGTGGTGGTGGTGGTGCCGTTCACTGTGACTGGCACAACGGTTGGGGCAGAGCGGGCGGTGTCGGTAGTTAATGGCGGCGGGACAGCTTTAGTGTGATCGGTAGTGATGGGGATGGTCGTCGTCTGGGAGTTTGCGTCACGGGCCAGAGCGGGGGTAATGGACGTTGTCGGGTTTTTCTCACACTGTGTCCGAAGGTTTCCCACGAGACTGATTCGGGCACAGAATGAGCGTTCGCAGCACGTTCATGCCGACAGCGATTAACATTTGACATCGAGGAGGCGAGGCGCTTGTGACTTAAGAGCCTGCCTTTGGGCTTTGGTGGCGGTACTCCGATTTGCTTCGAATATGGCGGCGCCGGTCTTCGCTTCCCTTCGTCGTGCCAGTCTGTGCTGGGCGAGGTCCTCCCATGTCCTCGGGTTGGTCCGCAACCGCTTCAGGAGGTCTTTAAAAGTGTCCTTGTAGCGTCATTTTTTGTCTCCCTTGTCGGCGGTCGTACTTCGGTGTCGCCGGAAGCCATATTAGCTTTCCGGCAGGAATCCCTGCTGAGGCGATTGAGGAGTATGCGGGCGACGAGCATCCCGGCGACCTTGAGTAGCAGGTCTCTGCCGTGATTGTCATAGGGCTTTTGATTTCCTTCGCGCTTTTAGAGGCGAGAGATGGTTGTATCCTTGAAATTCTGAGGAATTTGTCCACTGCGCCATACCTCCTGAAACAGCGTCGTGAATTGGTCCATAATGTGGTGGCCGCCGTGCTTTTAGATTTTGGCGGCGACCGCACCGGAGCTTGATGCCTTCCCACTGGAAAGTGGTTACAAAGCACGCATGGCTTCTGAGAGGAGGAGGAACAAGAGGTCCAGGTCGACGTTGGTTTCCACTTGGGGGAGCCGGTCGATAGCAGTGTCGGAGATTGCGAAGGAACGGCTGGGGCCATTTCTGAAGAGCTCGGCCCAACGCTTCAGAATCTATGACTTCTAGATCAGAAACGTTGATCCGGCAGAGCTGAGAAGCAGCGAGCTCCTTTGGTCTGGGGCAGTAGATTGCCTTGATCGCAGCGAAGAAGTTCTTTGATTTGTTGCCATCAGCGTAACCCTGGGTCTCCTTGGCCTTGCGAGCCATGCAGGCGTCCTACATTTCTCGCAACCGTTTCTACGCAAGACGGGGACATTGCTGGAAGGCCGCTTTGTTCACATCGATTGGAGAGTGGAGGTAGGCTCTGTGCAACCCATTCCTCTCGGCGAGCAGGTTACTAATGACTGCGTCGTTATCGTTGACTCAGTCCTTGTGCTGGTGACGTACGTGGCCGAGGACATGCAGGGCGGTCGAATGAACATGGTCTTGTTGTTGACACCATCGAGTCTCTAAGGAGGCGTTTTCATTTGCCGCTGGCAGATTTTCCAACCGTCGGGTCAGTTGATTGCTGAATTGCAAACGGTGAACATGCAAAGACAACAAAGCAGTGCTCAACTTACGTGATGGTCGTTTAACTTGTGGCCTCCTGCGGGATTGCGAGATTGGGGATAACGAGGCGGTGGCACGTCCACCCATCGGCCTCGTAGACCGCACTGGCCACCGTCACGTCCTGCCGATCTCGTCGCCAAGACGAGAATACAGCCCAGCGGCTGCTAACGCCGCGATCGAGGGTGCATCCAGGCGGCCTTCTTCCGCATCGGCAGGCGTGATATGGCGCTGGTCAGCAAAAGCCAGTGTTCGGCGCAGGTTCGCAGAAGTAGGCCGTTGTTATTGCAGCTTGCGATTCCATGAGCACCCAGCACTCCCCTCGGGACAATATGGTTTGTGCCGACGAGGGCATACAAGTCACCGCGAACAATCAACCCATCCGCCTCTGGCACAGACGTCAGGATGGCATGCAGATCTTCGTAGAACTTTGTCTTCGTCTAGTCTGAGCCGGTTATTGCTGGGGCGGAGTCGTTGATGGTGGTGGCTAAGTTGGGTCTCCGAAGAGGCAAGCGCAGGCTCATTAGGCAATCGTTAATGTCCTGCAGCAGACAGGGCAGTCGTCTCACGTTGTCGTTCTGAATGGCAAAGGCGACGTCCATATCACGTCGTTCTGCCTTCGAGCGGCTACCCCAGAAGAAGATGCAGTCGGCACTCACCTCTTTTAGGTGACCTTCTTCGGAGGTGCGGGCTTTGCCGATTGCAGCAATATCCACCTTGTAGCGCGCCATTTCCCGAGCTACTAGCGTCGTCCTCCGTTCCGGTCAGTTGCATTGAAATTATCTAAAATGGAACGAACATTCCAGACTGCTAGAGTGAGCGGACTCACCTTAGCAGCCTGTGGTGTAAGGCGAAGGAGTGAAGGAGGGGGAAGAAAGGGAGCACTGTTTCTTGTTCATAGTTTTCGACTGCAGCTATTACATCCTGCGAGCCACGTTCCGCTCGCAGATTTCGTGGACACTGATTTGTTTGGGACATGGCTTACAGCCCCCTTTCCCTCGAGACCGAAGGCAGTGCATTCTTTTAGTAGAGCTGCTTAGTCGTCCCAGACAGCCGCCACTCTCCCCTGTGGGTCACTAGGTTAAGTGAGTGAACGACTCATTGGTCTGGGCGGCCTTCGTGATCGCACTTCGGCCTCGTCATAGAACTTATCAGCCGTGGATGAAGAGAGAAGGAGGAAGAGTACAGATGGAGGAGAGTGGGGAATTCGGGGGGAAGAGAGGGCGCGGAAGGGGGGAGAGGGGAATGGATTTGAAGAGGGAAGATAAGGGTAGGAAAAGACCGGAGAAGAGGAAGAAGAAGAAGAAGAAGAAGGGGAACAAAGGGAGAGTAAAAATTGGAGGCGGATTTACCGCGTGGGGACACGTAAGCACAAGCCTTACTTGATTTAACTTCCGGTTGCCGGTTACCGGGGTGAGGCCGCTAGCAGAGCCTAGCTTCGGGTGCCACATACGAGATTTGGTGGTCAGCTGATGGTCGCTGGCATAGTCAACACGTGAAAGCAAGTAAACGACCTACTACGACCTTCACGTGGATCCAGAACTGGACACGCCTACTTGAGAGGGCTAACGCAGGGCCGACCGGCACATGGAGGAGCACTGAAGGGCGCAGCAGCATTTACGGGCCGATCGTGTCTTCGCTGTCAAAGTCAAAAGAACGGCCCTCAAATCTCGAACGTCTCCGACCCACAACGCTCACACCTAAACACTTCTATCATCTTCACTCTGAAGACGGACATTCGCAGAACGAAGCAGCCCGTCAAACATCTTCGGCCCCAATCCAACAGCAGCCTGACAACGCCTCAGTCGTCACCCCTGTTGCAACTTCCACGACGGTCGCGGCGAAAATCAGCACCACATATAAACGCACCCCCTATGTCCGCTACCTCCTACTACCACCTGCATCGTCAGTACCGTAACCCCCGCGCCAATCACGACGACTATCCCACCTCACCCCAACCACCAGTAACAGTGTCTCATGCGTCCCGTCAATCTCCACCCACGTCACCATCATCACCTCCACAACCAAAAATGATGACTCGATCCTAGCCTGTCTTGGTTTTGATCCGACCTTCATATCACGCACAGGTCTGGTCAGTCACCTGTAAATCCCCGAAATGGTGGTGGAAGATCAGTGTCTGACGTCCTAACACGCATCTGGCTCCAAAAAGGGACCAACGGACATTTAGAACACCGCCGCAGAATCGCCCTATCCGCCAAAATTTCCCCCTTTGGATGTTGTTTAGCTTTCCGCGATCCATCAGCGGAGGAACCTACCTGCCCCTCCATATCCCTTTATGAATTGTTTTTCCTCTGCCAGATATTTTTGGAAGTGAGAGTCCCCTGAACTCACTCTTTACTTTTAAACTTTTGGGAGTTTTTCAATGTTCATTATTTTCCAACTGCACCCACTTTGGGATTTGTGTACATTGTCATAAAAAGAGTCACATATTAGAGGGAAAGTCGCCGGCAGTCGTAAATCTCTGTCTATTTCTCAAAGCACAACTTTTAAATCCTACTCTGTATATGGCCGTTCCCACAGGTCATTACTGTTTGTATTTTCTGTACCTTACCAATAAACATAGTGTTGACTTACTTTGGACAGTGTCCTTTGGTCGCTTTAAAATAAAACGGTAAGATATGGTCTTGCAGTTGCATCTGATGGAGATTATACTGCTGAACTACCGAACTGTTTTAAATAGGCGAGATTATGCTGAGATGGCACACTTGCATCTTGCTGAAACGGAAAAAAGCTACCTTGTGCAAGCCTTGAGGTAGGGTCATTCTTAGGGTTTGGGTTAGTGTGAGGCCGAGAACTGAGTTTACGGTTAGGGATCACGTCAAGTTCAATCGTTCTGGTTAGAGTTGGGATTTGGATTGCGATTTAGGTTAAGTGTTAGGGTTGGGGTTAGGATTATGGTTACACTATTGGGTCAGATTGAGGACAACGGTTGGGGTTGGGAATGGGGGTTAGGGTTAGGATTGACCCCACTCTGACCGAAACCGTAACCGTAGCCCTAAGCATAATCCTACCCCCAACACTATCACTTAACCTACATTGCAATCCAAACCCTAACTCTAACCGGGACGATTGAACTTAACGCAAACCCTGACCGTAAGCTTAATTCTCAGCCTCTTAGATTTGGGGTATTTTTTCCCGCGTGTCCCTTCAGCCAGGTCTGTTGCGGGAATGCCACGCTTCTTGAAGTCTCGTAACAGATTTACCACACATCAGGCTGCTCTTCCCTTTCACGCCTCCTGTGCCTTCACTACGAACGATTAGAGCATCGCCTTACGGCTTACTTTACCTTCAACGCTCACTGTGCGCGTACACTTGGGATCAGGAGGGGGTGACCGACCGGTGTGGCGTTTTTTTCTATCCCACGAGTGCTTAGGGTATGTTCTGCAATGCCTCAGATGAGACAAAAGTGCGTCTTCGCCTTTTCTATTCCAGCGAGTGCTTGCGGTTTGTACTGCGCGTTCCGCTTGCACTTCCTTTCTTTTCTAATCCAGCCAGTGGCTGGGCACCCTCAGCTAATGTGTTCATTGTTCTTGGGCATCCTTTGAGTTGAATAGCCGGCGCTGTTTTCCTCACCACTTTTCCTTTCTAATCCAGGCGGTGGCTAGACCGTTTGCTGTGCGCCCTTTCATTTTTTTTCTTCATCTACCTGGTGGTCAGGCGTCCTCTTGCCCGGCCTCTTCTCTTTCTCTAATCCAGTGGTCGTTTATGGTTGCTACCTCAACGGCACAGTTGAAACTATGTGTTCACTGTTCTTAGACGACGTACCCGTTTCGATTGCTCTTACGTTTCTGCTATTCCGATCAATGGTTAGGCCAGGTACTTCAACTGCATAGCCGAGGCATAGTGCGTAATGATTTTAGACGGCCTCGCATTAAAGGGGCAGTTGACACCAGGCGCTCAGTGTACTCGAACCATTTTTAAGTTCTTCCTGTCATTTCCTCCATTCCTTGTCCGGTGCGTGCCAAGTTCGGTGTCGCGTACGGTCATGTTAGCTCAGTGTATCTATTGAACTTGTTCCACTTCCGCTCATGTTCGGCTGGCCTTATTCCTACCTTTGCTACCACAAGAGTGGCTACTTCGGGTACTAAAAGGGGTCCTCTGTGCCCTAGCCGTCCGTGAATTTGGTACCCGCTTTCATTCGGCTCGGACCTCTCCATCTTTCCGAACTCAGAAAATACGAGACTCGGTAGCGAACGGGGACAGTTACGACTGAGTGCACAGTGTACTTTGCAGTCCCCGTCTCCACCTTCCGCCAGTCCTCCTCCTTTTTTCCAGTGCAGCGAGGGTTTGAGTTTGGTGCATGAAACGACAACCCTAAGACCAAGTACTCAATGAACTTGCACCTTCCCATCCTCGTTCTCTAACCACCCCTCATACCGGTTTGCTTTGCACTTTTGCCAATTGTTCGGCCAGGTATTGCAAATGCGCACTTGCGCCCGGGCGCTAAATGCACTTTAGCTCCGAACACACTCTCCTTGCCCTCTGTTTCTTTCGTTGTCCAGCGAGCAGCAAGGGCCGCAACGTGAAGGCCAATGTTCCGGCCAAGTGCATCATCCACTTCCACCGACCCGCCCGTTGCCCTACTGCCCGCCCTCCTTTTCCATTCCAGTGAGCGCGTAGGATAGGCGCGTGGTCAGCTACGTTTCGACTAGGTGCTCAGTGCATCTGTACTCCCAACAGCACTGCGTTTCGCTTGGGCTCTCGTTCTTCACTAGAAATGTCAGTGGTTCGGTCAGGGCATCCGTAGTAGCAGTCAATACTACGTGTTCCGCGCACTTACCGCCCGTTCCTGTTCTTCGGGGGCTTTCTACTTTCCGAACTGAGTTTCTGCGAACGTCAGTGCGCGAACGACGGTGTGGACCTTAAGTGCTCCATACGCTTGGTCTCCCTTCTTCCCGCCTTCTTACCGCATACTGGTTCCGAATTTTCTACTTTTCCCTAATCCAACGACTTGCTTGGTTCGTTGCATGAAATAGCGGCGTTGAGACTACTTGCTCAGATGTCAACTGCAGTTTCCTGTCGCTCCTCTCCTGCTTGATTTCGCCATCTTCCAAAATTGTGCTAGTGGTTAGGCTAGGTAGATCCCCGGTACAGGAGGAAAGACGTTATGGTTGCTAGGACAATTTCATTATTGTAGTACTTATAGCAGACAAGCAGAGTGGTATCCTGATGCGCGGCCTTGCCCATGGGTTGAAATTGCTTTCTGTGTTGTCTTCGGTTTCCGCTGTCGTGGTCCCCTCGGGTCGCAATTTGCCTACGCTTTAGATTATCATAATTACGGTACATGGTACCTGTCTGACTGCTTTGGGGTATCGGGGTCGGACTGCGCAACCTCATTAACCGGGTACACATCCGCTGCGTGTGTGAGGAGGGTTTCCCAAGCACCTGGTAGATTATTTGCTTTCACATCGAATTAGAGCCTTATTGGACTTCATCAAAGTGGGCCCAAATATTCTTTCCCCTTATTGGAACTTTTTCCCGGAGCTTACGTTTCAACCTGCTCCTTGTAGGCCGCACTGGCGATCCTGTTCCCATCGTAAACTGGGCCGGTAAAATAGACAGAATTATTAACAGTCAAATGCCAATAATCTTCGTAGGAAAGACGTGCATACGCTTTTCGTTGATCCGTAATATTCACGCTGCCGGTAGCAAGCCATTTTGTGATGAATGCTCTGAGCCAGACCAGCTACGATCATTCACTTGTTCGAAC